AGGACAACATCCCAAACACGGAAGAGTGCTTCGGCGGATAAGCAGTCGGTAAAGACGGACAGGAACCATTGGAAGGTCAAAGCTTCGAGCTCGATCTCCAGCTCATCGAGATGGGCAGATAGCCTTGGCAATATTTCAGCAACGTATTGGCGAAGCACAGACTGGTCAGCACGAGACGTGAGTAGATGCTGGTCATAGTAGTGCTGGGGCAGAATCTCCTCAATCATTGCGGTCAGGACCCAGAAAGCATCTTCAGGTGTGGGCATGATGAGCAGCAAGCATGCAGCAATGAGGTTCATGCCTTGGCAATAACCAACTTCTGGATTGCGGCGTGAGTAGGCGAGTAACACTTCCTGCAGCTTCTGTACGCCAGGGCCAGTCCGGAAAAAGATGTTGTCGGTCAATGTGCGGGTAATGTCCATCTGGATTTGAGTTGCGATTGCCGGATCATCCTCGCCATTGTTGACCAGATCCTCATAGTAGCCCGGTGTGCGTAGATGCAATGCTCCGCTTCCTTCAGCCCAGATGGCAGCCCTCATGTGGACGGGAATGCCTCCGAGGACAAGACGGCGAAACTCTTGCCATTTGGCACGGCCCACTTTACCCTTGTTGCCGAGACCTGCGATGCCGACCAGTTCGCCGTCTGAGAGAAATGTCTCGGGCATTGCGTTGGCCTTGCCATTCTCCCCTATGCTGGCAACTTCGCCTTCGCGTTTGTTCTGTGCACGTACTTTGCGCAAGAAGTCGTTCCATTTGACGGTTCTTTCTTTCTGAAGGTTGTCATGCAGTTCACTCATCTGCTCCAGTAGGGACTGTACGGGATCCATCTGACCCGGATACGGGCTGATGGGTGTAGATGGGCCAGGTGAGGTGGCAGTGACGGAAATCTCTGCATTACCAGAAACGATGCGAGATGGTGATGGCTCTGGGTTGACGCTGGTAGTCGGCACAGATCCTCGCTTCATGAGAGTAATTTGAGTCTGGCCAATCTTGAAAGAAGATGTCTCGCCTTCAGCAGACTCTACCGTGGTGATTGGCGCTGCTGAGGGGGTATGCGAAAGTAGCTCAGTTGGGTGCGTGGCCAGTTTAAGGTAGTCAGCCCAGGTTTTGCTCGCTGGTTGACTGGGCTGATTGTCTGAATCGGAACTGGATGGGCGTACGCCGGTACTGTTCTGATCGCTTGCAACTGGAGGGCCGTCGACATGATCGGCATCGTCTGCTTTTGCGAGGCTGTTGAGCGCAGTTCTGCTGTCGTTGAGTGACTCGACATTACTGCTCCGTTTTTGCTTGATCAGCGCAGCAGCAGCCTCGCTCTGTCTCTTCTTTCGGCGCTGGTCGTAGATGAAGCCAAATCTATCAGTCAGGTACTCGCTACTCCCGACAAATCGGTTATGTTGCTGCACAAGCGTTGGTGGACGTGAGTCCTCGGGTAAAATGCGGTCCATTTCCACAGGGCCGAGATTGCTCATTCCACGGGTTGGCTGGGATGGAGCAAGGCTACTGGACACGGCTTTGGGCTGATCTCCGGTAATGCTCTTAATAGTTCCATTTGGGCCCAATGCGCGACCTCGTTTCTGTGTGCTTGCTAGGGAAGACTTTGCAGATTGGGCAGTCTTTGTCGAGTCCATAGAGGGCGCTCGGTCTGCAGCATCAGAAGCGGTAGTTTTGCGCCCTCGTGCTGAGCTTGTTTTACTAGGACTTGCGGAGCCATTGCCCGCCACCATTTTCAACGCCCAACTCGCTAATGAAGATGACGAGGACCTGCGCGCCGACGCATCTCCGGCGCGATCTTGGCTGTTGAGTCTGCGTAGAGCGGGCGCTGCGCCGGCAGCGGAAGGCGGTACAAAGGTATCGTTTGCGAGAGGCTTGCGAGGCGGCTTTGCATTACTGTTTGCACGCGATCGTGGTCCAGCTGGTAGACCACCGATGTCCCGGTCAATATGGCTGGCGACGGATGGCGCCCTACTACTCTTCCTGCTTGTTCCTGCCCAAAGGTAGCCCTTCCAGGTTGACTTTGGACCATCGCGCTGGGCGTCTGACGTGACCGAGTTGAGCGACATGACATCTGCCATGGGCGTTGCTGCAGTGCCCATGTCTATGCCGAGCGCATCTGGGTGCTCGGCCAGTTCGTCTTCCATGGCCCTTGCAAGCCTGTCCTCCATGGGATCGTCGGGATGCAGTCCAGCGGATGCACTGTCGCCTCTTGTTCTCGTCTTGGTGAGGCTATTGCCACTGTCCCTGGTCCTGTCGAGCTCCCGAAGCCTGTTTTCAATATCCATGTTGGAGACTTCGCACTCTTGCAGCATTTTCCTCAGCATGCGCTCGCGTTCCTCGGCTCGTCTCCGCAGGGCGGTAATTTGGGCGTCGCGCTGGGCAAGGTCGCCTGCGAGCTGCTTGACCAAGGCGACGGCGCCCGTGTGGCGCAAGGCATCTTGTATGTTTTCATCGGTGGCAAAATGCAGGTTGCCTGGGACGTTTGCAGTCTCTGTTGGAGTGTCGTCGAAGAGGGCGGATCGGTCCTTTGTCGAGGATGAGGCGGCGACGAGGCTGCCGACAATCTCCTGTGTCGACTTGGTGACTCTCCTCACCGTCGAGGTGGGTGTGACGGTCCTGTTAAAGTCTGGCGAGGCGACTGCCTTGAGGGCGTCGGGCAGTGCGGGCGGCCCATTGGGCAAGTCCTTGAGGTCGTCGTCGGGGGCGGGCGTGGATCGAAACCAGGCGTTGAGACGGGCGTGTGCCGGGGAGGCGTCTGGACTGGGCGACAGTGAGGGGAACGAGGTGAGGCTCTTGGTGTCGACTTCGGGCTCTGGGCCTCTGCTGCGGCTGCGGCTGAGGGAAGCATTGGAGGGGCGCTTGGAGGGGCGGACGCGCTGCAGGCTGCGGTTCCTTGGGCTGGAGATTGTTGATGTTTGCGAGGCTGTCCGCACGAGATCAGCGGCTCTCGGGTTGTCTAGGGCAGCCATGTGTGTCGAGCGTGTCTGTGGGGGCACACATTCGGGAAGCTGTGGGGGGGAGGAGGGAGTGCAGGAGAGAGAGGGAGGAGGAGTCGTTGTGATGACGAGTATAGGTAAGTGTTTATGTTTGGGAGAGTGTATATGTGTGTATGTGTGCGGATGCGGTTGTGTGGGTGCGTGCGGAGAAGCGGTGCGTCATACTCTGCGGATCTGGCGACGCCCTAATAGTGCCCGCCCACGGCCTCGAGAAGCAGCAGCAGCAGCAACACGACTTTTTAGCTACAAGGGGACATGTGGCACGACTGGGAGCCCAAAAATACCTCGGGCTCAGGGGACACAGGACAGACAGTGAACGAGCTGCACCAGGCGGATTGGCAGATTGCCCGCAGCGCAAGGGGCGCACTCACACACGCACGCCCGTCGTGGGATGAGCGGAGACTAGTCATGGCAGCCCTACACATGCCATGCGCACACACGCACACGCACACGCACACGCCCGACACCACCACCCCGGGCCTCGCTGCCGATCACGACGCCCTATCCAGTAGCATCATCTGCATGCCATACACTACACACGCTTCCCGCAAGGCTGCCAGGGACCGTCCTTGGCTGGCCCGCTGCCGTATTACATAGCCTCGACGCCCTCCCTCCACCCGTCTACTCATGTTTCGCATCCATGCCCCCCACGGATGAGGATGCTGCCCTGCACGCCATCGCCGCCCTCGACCAACCCTCGCCCGCCCAACTGAATGCCCAACGGGCCATTGCTGCCATCCTGCACAATGGCGAGCCCTTTGTTGACCTCCACACCCTCTTCGCCCTCTATGACATCCTTTACTTCCGAAACCTGCTGCTGTCGCGCGTCGAGGTGCTTTGGTCGTCGCGTCTAACCCTAGTACGTTTCTCTCTGGCCTTGCTTTGTTTTCTACCCGTCTCACCCTCCCCATCTGAAGCCGGCCCTGGCTATCGCTCCGCCTGCCCGCGCCGTTGGCCCGCTGGCTGACCGTCGCAACAGTGCGCTGGCATCTGCGAGCTCTCCAAGGATCCCCAAACAGGTCACTGGTCCCGCATCCGCCTCAAGCTGAGCTCTCCACTGCTGCAGTACCGCCCCCGCTCAGACACCATCAATACGCTGCTGCACGAGGCCATTCATGCCTACTTCTTCATCACCACCTCATGGACCCACTCACGCGGTGACGACGGGACGGGCCATGGTCGCGGCTTCCAGCTGCTAGCCGACGCCCTGAACAACCACGGCGACTATCAAATTACCGTTTACCACTCGTTTCACGATGAAGTTGACAGTTACCGCACCCATGTCTGGAAATGCAATGGGCCCTGCCAGACCCAGCCTCCGTACTTTGGCCTCGTCAAGCGGAGCATGAACCGCGCCCCCGGGAAGAGTGACTCCTGGTGGGTGAAACACCAGGCCGAGTGTGGCGGCACCTACACCAAGATCCGGGAACCTGCACCTACAAAGAAACAGCTGCAGGCCATGACCACAAAGGAGCGTGCTGGACGCCAAAAGAACAAGCTCAATAACTGGATTACAGCCGGACCGGCAAAACAAGCCCAAACAAAAGGTAGTACTAGTGACGATCCGATTCACCTTCCCAATGACAAACCTCCGGCCGCACCTTCGCACACCAGCAAACCCAAAGATTTAGTAGTCGAAAACCTTGTTTCTTCACCGTCACGTTACACGTCCCCCCATGCAGGCCACAAACGTCCGCCGTCGGTGCAAGAACATGACACGGCCATGCACAAGAAACTCCTTATCCAGTGCCCAATCTGCAACCTAACAATGGCCGAAGCAGACATCAATCAGCACTTGGATGTGGCGCATTGCTGACAACGTTTCCCCTGCATGCCAGTCCCAAACAGGGTTAATTGTCCTGGACCCTGATTCTTACGTCATTCTACACTGCCCATTATATCCGTAGCATGTCTGCCCGGATATGCACCTAATAAGCGATTGGCTTCCTGATCTTGCCAGTGAAAACACCATCTCTTTTGCTCTCCACTATGTTCTATCCTCAAAAAATCATGAGCTCGCCTTCTCATATCAACGTACCCATGATGCTTGTCCAACACTCTCCACTTCTAAAGCTTCCCTCGGAACTGCGTCTTGAGGTCTACGATTTCCTAGGCCGCCTTGAGCCCAAAAGCTACCCCTTCGGATGGACCGCAATCCGTTGCATTGATCGAAGAGCCCCTCCTACAGCACTCATAGCCACATGTCGCTGTCTTCATGACGAGATTCTCACCCACTTCTACAATACCGTCACCTTCCATTATCTTACGCCAACCATTAATCATCCTCCCATTAGCGGCCTTCCCCAGATTGCACTCACTGCAGTCAGGCAGGTCAAGAAGTTTCACTTGGGAATTCACTGGAAAATGTCAGGATCGTCCTTGAAAAAGAAGAATAGCGAACACTCCTATGTCGTATTTCGCTGGCTTGAGGACATAACTAAGATGCTGCTCAGAGAGGCAAAGAACCTCGAGACGGTTACCATCGCAGTGTTTGACTTGCCCGTTGGTGTAGATTGGGAGTGCAAGAAGAGTCTCTTGGATCCGTTGAAGATATTGGGTCAGCGAGCAGTGCTGCGCTTGGGGGAGATTACAACGACGGGCGAAGAAGAGGAGGTCGAGTTGACAGCACGAATGAAGTCGTATCTGGATGGGATTAACAAGGATCGGCTGCACACAAGCGACGTGACTGCTCTTGATGAACAATAATACCTTGACTGGTCTACTGCTTACGCATGGATTCGGTTTTCTGACCAGCAAACATTGCACAAAATGGCCTCACAAAGAAAAACAAAAGTCGACTAATTCAAGTCTCAATTGCCGACTCTCTCGATCCACCCCGACCATCACCTTCGGGCGGAATCACCCACTTCATCAACTGCCCATTCACCCTCGCTAGGACGTGTTCATAGGGCTCTACCCCAAGCGCCTCCCACTCCTTCCTCAAACCCTCCTCAATGTACTTCCTTCTTCCCTCCTCCGTCTGCATACTTTTGGGCCCCTTCTTGGTCATCTCCCTGTAAGCCAACCACCCCTTGCCCTGATGATAGTCCATGTTCATATGCTTCATGATGCGCGCATGTGCCGCAGCCCGCTTGCGCATAAACGTCTCGTCCTGTGCCTTCTCCCCAAGCAGCGATCGAATATGCGCACTGCGCGCCATCACATCGGGTGTCGAAATCATCGTGGCAACGTCACCCATGACAGGATACGACCCTGTAGCCAGCGGAGGCAGATTCGGATGCAAAGGCGACGGAGTAAAAAGGTCGAATTTGGAAAGATGAGTTTGTTGTGTCGCTTGCGTCATAGTCTAGTGCCTTTGTTAGTCTTGAAACATGACCCAAGTCCAATGTCAAACCGTTTAGTAACTTTGCACCACCACCCGCTCTCACCTCTAAAATCGCAACCCTCTTGCACTCGCAACCCCCCCTCCCCGGCCTCTCATTTTCAAACGAGAGAAACAAACAATAAAAAAAAGTAGATAAAAAAACATACTTACCATCTTTGCAAACTCGCGCCTATCACACCCCAAACAACACGTCATCCCCCGCCCAAAACACGCCTTGCGCCTACTCTTCCTCTTGCAAAACCAGCATATCTCGCCCAACCACTTGCGCCGACAACTACTCACCCGCGCATTCTTCGGCAGTTCCATGCCCGCATGTCGCTTGAGCAGGTTCCGCGCATACTCCTCGACGATGGCGTGAAGATGGCGGTTTGTAGCGGCAAGTGCGTTGAGCGGGTAGATGGGCAGCGTGAGGCAGTTGGGCGGTGACGTGTAGGAGAGGATGTGGAAGAGGAGTTCGGGAGGGAGGGAGTCGAGGCTTGGCATTTATCTTTGTTTTAGGGGGGGAAGGGCAGGCGGGTGTGATGGGGCAGGGTAGGGGTAGGGTAGGGTAGGGTAAAGGTGTGTGTGTGTGTGTGGAGCGGAGTATTTTGGGAGTGGTGGTGTGGAGTATGTTGTTGGTCGGAGGGCCGACGCGGACAGGTTCGCGGCGATGGAGCCGGACGGGGAGGGGGGACACGGCATGGCAGGGATTAATCCTTACCCCGCCCTTTTTACCTTGCAGCCGAACTACGCTGGTCCACCTTTACCCCCCCTGTTGCGTGCCCTGGCTGACTGCTGTCTTTTTTCCTTTCTTTTCCCTGTTTTTCCCGCCCACCCCTTTTTTTATTCCTGTCTGAGCAAGTACGGGCCGGGGTGGTGGTGGTGCGGCTGATGCTGCGTCAAGCTTTGTATACACAAACGTACCTACCAATATCCATGTTCAGCTGAACAGTGATAAGTATAACGCCTATACTAACTTTCTGCTTGTCGGGCCCTTGTAAAAAGGGCCAGGAGCAGGGTTGCCTTGCACGGAACATGCTAGCGGATCGACCTAAGACATGCAAGTTACGGGCGGAAGATCGGTACCAAGTGCCAGTCCCGTATTTCTAGCCTTCATTACCGTAGACCCCGACGGTGTCGGCGGTGTCACCGGCGTCTTAACACGCGACCGCCAGGCCCGCTTTTGCTTTTTACGAATCAAGAGAAAAAAAGGCCTCGGTGCCCTGTTTTGCTGTCTTGCGACTATGAGTCAAAATACCGACGCATCACCGTATGACCATATAGCTGTTCGGGTGGCTGCGTCACGGGTCCCTCACGCAGAAAGGGCAAGCTTTATTACTCTCTATACTATCAACCGGCCCTTTTCCGTCCTTGGAGCCGGAAAACGAGCTGAGTGGTGCGCTGGCTCAATCGCTTCCTGCCAATCCTCGTCGTAGATTGTAGATCCCGTCCTTTGTACAAAGGGACAATGGTGACAGCGCATTTACTATAATTGACATGAAACGTAGATGTGCACCTGATGGTAGCGGAATCGTATCACGCGCGGGCAAATCCTTTCCGCATTGGGACAATGATGGTATACAATCGCCTGGATATACCATCCTCCGTCTGTATCAGCCTCATGAATTCTAGGCAAGGGCACCGTTCCAAAACAAAGTTTCTACATTTTGCCGCATGTGCCCGGTCGATTACGAGCAGTTTTGACGATGGCTATTAGCTACGTTGGGAGGGGGGTCAGTGTCATGCTTGCTCGCATGTACTGGGCAAACTTGTGTGTCCAATCAGAGCGGTCAATCGCCATCTCGGCTCCATCTCGAGTCGTGTAGTCTTGCCCTTCCTACGTATAATTGACCTTATTCCGTTAGTCCCTTGCCTGGCCGATGTATGGGAAAGTCGTTTCAACTGCTGAAAAAAGCACGCCTACTCAACGGCCCTACCGGATTATCCGGCATCTAGCAGGGGGCACCTGCACCGCAGCTGCTCCACGTACCCCAGAAAGCATATGTCCTAGATTATATGCAATGTCACTAATGATTCAGACGATCCAAAAAGCTCTCTAAGGGACCTGAGTACGCGTGGTTGTGCGTGTGTGTGCATTTCGAGGGACCATTACCAGGAATATGTTAATAGGGAATGATGCGTTGTACATTTTGCTTCGTACGTACGGTGGCGAAGCTATCTTGAACACACCCAATATTAAGGAGACTCTTACCTGCCCCCTCATTATCTTGTCTTCTATTCAACTCCAAACGCCTCCACGACACATTGGTGCAACTGCACTACTTGTTCCAAGAGTCAGTAAATAGTACTTTCTGCAGACCTGCCTTCGTAGTGCTGAAACTTTCATTCGATCAGCCACATTCTTCACTCTCATTCGCTGTTTTAGTGGTTGGGTCACGTTCGCTGCTTTAGCACCTCTCGTCAACGCGTGGTATATCTGACAAGTCGCTTGTTTCACGTTTCATCCTTACCTATACCCAACCTACACACCCAAAATCAACATGGCCCACAACCAGAGCCAATCTGGAAGCCACTCACATGGCTCCGCCCACCGCGGAGGAGGCCGCAAAGATGACCGTAGAAGTGATGGCCAAGGCGACGGCAAAAGCTCAAAGCGTGTGGATAACAAGGTGAGGAGATTGCTCTGCTCGCAAAGGTAGTGATGGCTAACAAAACGCAGTCTAGCGCAGGAAGCGCACAATCTGCCTCTTCTTCAAAAGATCACCACTACGATCCCCAGTATGATCCACATTACGCGCCAGTGGCTCGCCCGATGCTTAACGACTTTACGCATCTGGCGAATGCAGTGAACAATCCCGCTTTAAGCGTGGGAATTTTACCCTCGCATGAGGTAGTCGACGCGTCTCGCTCTGGACCTGATGCGGTGCGTCGCTCCTTCGGCAGCAGCGGGTTTAGTGCACCTCGAGCGGGCCAAGCACACCAAGTCCAGTATGCAATGTACCCGCCCCAAGCGCAGCAAGCCTTCCACCTATCGTCGGGATATGACCACACCGGGCCTTACAACGCTATCGGTCATGTCCGAGTTAATGGACAAGTGTACGAGGACTCCGAATTGTACGAAGAGTACAGGCCATGCGACCAGGGCGAAGAACTCGACGACAACCATAGCGGAGATTGGTATAACGTAGGAAGTAATGTGTCCTACTAAGCTGCAGAATTGCAGTTTCGATCGTCTAGCAAAAGCACTCGACTTATATCTCCTATGGCGGTGACCGGAAAGGCAGGGTATGATCTCAGTGCTCGGCATATTTTTTCGTACAAGTTCCTTTTCTTTGGGTTCGCATAGTCAGCCGGTCCAGGTGCCTTCTTCGTTTAACCCCAACAATGAACCGGGGTCTCATCTACTCGCCTTCAGCCTTGCACGGTGGGGCTGATACTTTCTTTTTCGCCGCCGCATTAGCGCTTGGATTGTCGTCTCTACTCTGGTAGCATACTTTTATGGAGTGTCATCTTTTGTACTATACTTTCACGGATTAATTTGATGCTCAAATGGACTCCTTTTTTCCATGTGAATTTGTGCCAGAGCGAACTTTGGTGCTGGAGTCAACTTGCCTCATGCTCTTTGCTGTGAAAGCTCGGGTGAGGGGCGCTCTCGGCGGCCGCGATTTGTGTGACGTGAGCGGGAAGCGTCGTGACTTGCCAACGCGCCACACATGCGCGCCCCTGATATGCCACAACACTCACCGGAATTTCTTTGGCTCACCGGAGCCGGAAGTATCATATTCGGCGAGGAGGACTTGATCACCGGAATCACAGGACGTTCGCCTGAAACATGCTGCCCATTTTAAGAGCCTCCGGCTGTTGAGAGATTGATCGGTTGATTTGCTGGCACATCCATAGCCAGTCGATGCCCCTGAGGGAATCAACAGCTAAAGCAAGCCTTGTCCCTCAAGTCCATCTAATCGGCCTCGGAATGTCGCATCAGCCGCGCGTTCATAGATGGAGAGGGCAGAAATCATTCTACTGCCTGTGCTAGATGGTAGTGGGCCCAAGCAGATTGTATACATCCGATCCCATGTCCTGAGCGTGAATGGACAACGTTTTTCTGGATAAGAGGCTGAATCCCGACATCCTCACCGATCAACGTAGGAGGAGGACCAACTAGGGCTAAGATAAGCCAAAGACGAAGCCGTGCCCTTTATTAACAAAGTGGACCATCAGCGGTGAATCTGCCTTGCCACTAATTAATGCTAGGCCTGTGAAGGCTCACCAAGCGCACATGATGTACGTCCTGCTAGACGTTGAGTCTGTTCTGAATGTTTGCGTTGGCCCTTGCCGAGGTCCCGTCGGTGATATGAGCACGCCCAAGGTAAGCTGAAGCCTCGCACTCGCATCCAGTCAGCGTATCGCAAAATTATGGCCGAGTACTCTTGAGCCGCCATCGATGAACTATGAGCCTATCGTCAGAGTGAGGTATGGGAATCTGGTAAGTTGATCTTGATGGCCTCGGCTGGCTGATGGGGCGATGACGCAATGTTGGCCATCGGTCCGGATTAGTGCCGAATGATGGGCCGTCTCGGTCCGTGTGCAAGCGGGACAGGGTTAGCCTGTATTTCCACTAAACTCAGTTTGAACTACATGCTCCCCTGCTGTTGCACGTCTTCTCCAGAGCAACATATATTTCGAGCGTGTACTCCAATTCCGTATGGAAAAAAAGTTGCTAACTTGGCGGCGCACTGGGAGACAGGGTTCGGGCATGACCGATATGAAGAGGTCGCCTAGAAGGGCATGCATGTCATTGCCGATGACGCTAGGGCGCTGGCGGTTGGATGTGGGGGACTGTAAATCACCCTAACATCCCGACGTCCTGCAAGAAACATGAGGAATCTTGCCCTGGAGGACACAGGGCAAATGAAAGGTAGCCTAGAGCGATGGTTGTCTCGGATTCATTCTAGGCCCATGCAGCCGCCATGCTTGACGGTACCTCAACATCGTCCGTCGGTTGTCTGCTGTAAGGTTTCCTACCTTCCTAAAGAGATGCACACAATATTGTAGTCATCCTGGAAGTTGTCGTGTAGCTGCCACCGGGGTGTCTTTTCACTTCATGTCCCTAAGAACGCTCTGTCCTAGTTTTACCCAGTTGTTGCGACATCTGGTACTCTTAGCACCTGGAACTGTCAGAGTAGACTGAAATGGATCTTCAGCCCCACCCCACCATGAATGGACAGCCGTGCGCTGATTTGGCCCCATCATAAGGCAGACTCAAGCGAAATCGGCGTTTGAGCCTACCCATCTTTGAGCTGTGCCAACTCTTTGCATCTTCGGGTTATTTTAGGGGGCCGTTTTCAAGGCTGTGTAGTTATGACTTACATTTCTTCCGGCAGTGCAGGCAGTGCAGGCAGTGCACTTTTCTTGTTAGATATAATAATTGATCTGAGGCCTCCGATTACTTTTGACAAGATTTCGCATTCTCAAAATCTTTTCCGAACTTAATTGTCGACCGCGCTTGGTGAGCTGCATTGATAGTGGAGGTTAGGCTTCAAGACGGGACCACGCCAACCTACGCCCTCCACGACAGATTGCTTTGCAATGTGGGTGTTCCTCCCAAACCTCCACAAATACTACTGTATCATTTCATCCGACGGACCATCTGAGAACCCGTTGCTGCTGCTACTGCCGCCGCCGCCGCCGCCGATGCAAAGCAGATCGCTTCACTTTGGAGAATTGTCCTGGAGGCCTCCCATAACGAGCAACATCTTCTTTCGGCGACTCGCGAACAAAACACATCTAGTCCATCTTGGTACTGCAGATATTGATCGAAGTCCTTCGCACAAGTGGAGTTGACCCCGGCACATGTGTAAGAGCTCCGGTTATATTCCTTACTTTCTCAATCTCGCCTTCTGATCCCGAGGCCCGCCGGTGTCCTTCGGTAGCAACGCCAAGATAGTAGCCTAGGGCAACCATCACAACGAACAGGCTGCTCATCATACTTCAGCTCTTCGGCCCTATTCGGACAAGCTTCTGGAGTGGCAGGCAATTTGCATGTCAAGATGAAGTTATCGTACGCGTACGCGTACTGTCACGGGATGGTGTCAAGTCCTCCAGCGCCCTTTCGCCTTTTTGCCTGTTTTTTGTTTCCCCGCCACGACGATGGCGTATCGGCGCTCCATGACAGGGACTATGTCGCGTCGCTAGCAGCATATTCCGTCTTCGCATATGTGCTCCACGGAGACATATCGTACGACTGTCCCTCAGGGAACATACATGTTGCAGTGTGCTGATGATCGCGCCTTTCGTCGAACAAAGTTGGTTGAAATAAGGTGCTGCACCGCTGCAAATGCATTCGGCGACATATTTGGAGCCACTCCCCGCGTTTCTGAAGATGCTCATTCATTTCGAAACCAGAAATCGCCTGAAGATTACGTGCGTGGCCTATCTTATTTCATTAGAGATTGCCTCCCAAATTCACTTTACTCACCGCTGTGCAGCATCTCTTCCCCGCACCACAAAGTTGGTGAACAGACAATAGGGACTGCTGTCCATCCATTCGCTTCTGACTCGGCGTTGCCTTCAAGTGGTAACGAGTGCACTCCTTCGACAAATTCTACGTCCCTGTTCTATCCAAAAGATCCTCTCGAGGACGACTTCCCTATCCCCAACAGGAACCAGAACGCACGAAACCGAAGCCGTCTCTTGAGGTTTTGCCGGTTCTTGATAAAGATTCGTCGAATGTATCCTCCAAGCCGTTCAGTTGTCAACGACGACCCCCCGCCAGCCTACATGCCGTACATCCAAGACTGTCATTCGTCCAACGTTCAGGAGCTTCCAAGCGATCGTGCTATTGCGGAACTTCCTGCGGTATCCAGGCCTTTGGAACTAGAGAGTCCCACCGATCAAACCCCTAACTTGGCTCGCCATACTGGCCAAGTGCCAGTAGGGCATACCTACCATGAGCACTACAGGGCTGCAGAGTGTACTGCACTACAAGGGATGAGTCGCACGGAGATATCGAGGCCACTCTGGGGTTCAGGTACTGTGCAGTATCCTAGTTCAGTGTCGGGTTCGACAGTTTATCAGCAGTTGCACGAGCCGTTACCTGTCTCACCTCCCAGAACTCCTGATACCGATAACGATCCCGGTCCACAGCTTGGGCCTGGCGCGGAGCTCCACGGAGGGGCTATGGTATATCCTCATATCTACTCGCCTCCCCATGATCATCAAGATGAGTTCAACATGCCAATGCCGGGCCTGAACTATGCTTTCCATCATGGACATGCCTCGCACACAAACATCAATCATGTAGAACTTTCTCTCTTCTCTGCTCGTATTCCTCCGGCTGAGTATCAACAGTCTCGACGTGATAGCCATCCACACTACGACTCGTCATACCCGACGTCATACCCCAATGCAGCCGAACCGTACAATGCTCACAACAATGCGTTACTCGCAGCACATAGCCCTGTAGATAACGCTTGCGTGCCATTGCATGGTATGACAGGCATCCCACTTGGTGTTTACGACTTTGACGAGTCCCGCGGGTGGCAGCACCACAATGGATATGGACAGGAGACGAACAGTGCCAATGCTGTCGGCTATTCGACCAGGGAAGTGGATGCATCGTACACCTTTGCAAAACTTGATGATCGTCAACACTATGAAGTTCATGAGGGTTCTGGTTTAGACGCAGAAGAATATGACGAAAGTCTTTCCTGCAGCCAATGTAGCACACTCTTCCATGGCAAGTACGTGAAGCTACCAGACTTCCTCATGTCTATGTTGGCGCTAACCAAGTATGTAGATACCGTAGCGGAAACCTGAAACGACATATTCGTGCCTTCCACAGTGTGGTGGCTTCGGTTCTCGGACTGACATGCCGTGTCTGTAAGAAGCAATTCAAACGAGCAGACGCTACCCGGAAGCATGAGTGGGAGCAGCACAGTATGCTTGACGTGAAGCCAAAGAAGAGGGCAGCAAGCTAGTGTAGAGCACAATCCTTTGACTGGCTACAATGCCCATTCGTCGTATCCCAGATGAGAAGCTGGCAATTCTCTTGTTAGGGTACTTGTTGCCGTCTCTTTCTATTCTACAACGCTAGCGTTGGCTCCCCTGGCTGCGGTGTTCTTGAGGAACACATATGTAATATGCGAGGTTATCTTTTATAATGCCAATAATGCTCTTTTCATATTCGGCTCGATATGATGCCTCCACCAACTTGTGAAAAGTAGTATGCAACTACATCTCTAGTCGCTGTCTGACTCTTAATGGTCCCAATTGCAGTTGTTTAACTTCAACATATCGGTTCCACCGGATTTTGGTGTCATCAGCATGATTTATGTGGGCAGCCCCGCAAACGGGACTATGACCGAAAGGCACCGAGGCGCGTCGCAGCATACTTCCGTAAGCTTTTCAGCCTACAGAATGCATGGAAGCAGGTTTACACGTGTGTGATGCCGCCTCAATGCACTGTGCATGCCACTCGCCACGTGTAGTACGCGTGACCGCCGCCTCCACCGAATCTATTGCAGCTCATAGCTGATCTTCTAGTCCTTCGTAGAACCGGTTAGCCCAGAAGCCCACTAGTGTGTATACTTGGGCATCTTCTGGTGGATACGCGTCGATCGCTGCGTTGAAGCCTTTTTTTCAGACGACGTCAGGTAAGGCGGTTGAGTATGCTGATCAGCCCGGGCCCAGTGATCTCGGTATCTCCGATCTTCTATCCCATTCTTAGGCATTGCGTCAGGACAACACCAGGTGGAGCTGGGCGACCCTGCTCATGCACTTAGGTCGGACCAACTCCATTGAGGTGGGTCAGAATGCAAGTCTTTTTTGCGGTACTGGGCATTATACGGATAATGCATATGTGATGCAAAGGTGGTACCATGTCGTTGTATGTTGGTATCCCGAGTAGCTGGTCACTGAAGAGTTGGCTAGCGGTGAGCAGTAGAGTACAGCAAGGCTGGCACGAGGATTTTGTGGTGGCGAATTACTGACCAGAACGATGGGCTACTGCCGGCAAATAGAGAGTAAACGCTGTAATGTATGCAGCTCTGCTCCCAAGCTAAAAGCTGCCCGGAAGAATCCACTTTGGTGCCGGACCATTTCAAGAACAAAAACCTTGGCCCTTTTTGATATTTCTGGGGGCATGTTCATCCATGTCAATCAGACTTGTAGAGGTTGACATACTTTGCGGATGAAGCTACCACAGAATGGAACAATGTGTGCGCGTGGTCAGATAGGGTCCTGTATAATACGAGAATATAAGTCAGGTAGCCTTGCATCAATCCTCTGGCAGCGTGTTTGTTGTCGTGTCACATTTGCCACTCTGGTGTTGGGTATCTGGGCTTCGGACTCATGACTTTGCGAGTGCATTTGTGGGCGCCCGGGCCTTTGGCTTAGAGGGCTGGCTGGAATCCCTGTCATCTAAGGTTTGGGGCGGCCGCGCTCATTTTTTGCTCTGGGTTGGACATATGTGTGTTCGGAATTTGCTAGTAGGAAGCGCATCATGTCGAAATATCTCGCCGCCGTTGTGTTAATTGCCAGGGAACCTGATTTTATTGATTGATCGGGTGCATGGTGCCGTACAGACATTACGCATGCCGAGTTCGTGGTGGGGGCAGCTGTGTTCGATCCTTACCATGGGGTTCCGTATAGTACTTGAGTATTTTGGTGTAGGTGCACGTACGAGGACCACCTGGAAGGAATCACGCGTAAAATTTGGTGCATGCCATTTTTCCATTTCGCAAGAACTGCATACCACTCGAGTAAGAGGTATGCGCATCAGACGCTGCGGCAAGACTATGGGCACGGGAGAGCCGTCGCTAGCTTCTCTGCGGCGCGGCTAGCCGCAGTAACATGCGTGTGCGTGGCGCCTCGCCCGTCTTTTGCGAGCGCTAAATCAGCGCTTTGCCATGACGCGGGGCGTGTCCCCCTCGAGGCGTCCGCGCCGTACTGAGACCAGACGTATAGTGGTATCAGCCGTGGCTGTAGACCGGGTGTGGTGAAGAGCGGCGTGTGCTGGCATCGCCAACTGTGAGTTCTTGTGTCACTCGTCCAGTTGCCTCGCCGTCTTGGAAGGGTTCCACTGCATGTCCATTGTCCGTGTGAGCTGCCAGAAGTGGGAGCTTCTTGCTCCAGGTGAGGCCGAGGGGGGTGAGCTATGCATGCATGCAGTTTGTCATTGCTCCGCTTCTCGGATACTGCGAACGTTAAACGGCAATGAGATGCCGTTATGTTTGGAACATTATGGAGCTTGCGCCATCTTAATTTCCTTTCAGCTCTATCCCTGGTACTGATGAAAGCTCGTGGTATACGTGCGTCTGCACTTTTGGCACACGTGGCCGCCGTGGCCGCCTTATTCACCTTGTGTCGACACTGGAAATTACTGCTATGAGGCTGGTCCATTCAGATTCCCCTCAGCTGATCGGATCCTGCGAAAAAGGACCTTCGAGATTCGCCAGTATGCCTCGTCTCATCCACGACAGCGTCACCGGCCTACACCGACCCTCTAGTCTTTTTGTCATTGTCGTTGGCGAGACAATCTGCTCCTAACAGTGATGAGCAAGGCTCATCATTACAGCAAGGCAACCGTGTAAAAACGCTTGACGTGGCGCTGGATACGTCCGAGGCTGGAGCGCCATCTGGGGGATTTCTGAAGGACGTCTCTCAAAGTCGGTAAGGTCGTCCCCTGTGATGCCAGCCCAGACCGCTTCGATACCTTCTCAAGTAGCTGACGGATTTGACTCTCTGTTAGTTCGAGGTCGAAATACCGACCATCCGCCGTTCCCCGAGCTTGTTCTGTAGCGAAAAGTGAAGCTCTCGTACCGCACCGTCAGCCGCAACATATCTGTCGCCTATTCTCGACCCTCTTCCATCACCAACCTCCTCCTTTTAGAGCCATTCATCTCTGCTTCGCCAGCATAGCTTAGCTCGTAACGCTAGGTGGACGCCTTTGGATATCCCATATCTGATTAACGGGCTTTCGACTTGTGAGCAGAAGGGACAAGCCCAGGCTGTTGGCAGGCACTGTGAGTCCCCGACAAACATCTGCTCGGCTAAAGGGTATGTGCATCCACACCCATTTTCGCCTGCATACGCTTACCAGGCACTTGGGGCAGTCCTTGTTGGCATAATCTAAGCGAATCGTATATTATAGCCTGCATATACTGGAGTGCGGACCGATCGAGTCTTTGGCGTCTTTCCGAAAGGTGGAAACTTCTTTTCCAAGCTCCTATATTCTGAGCGGGATTGTTGCCGAGAACGCGGATTGATTCTCTATTCCAGCCTAGCTTGGTAGCTCACTCACACCTTGTCTCTCTCTCCGTCCGTAGCAGCCACTCGGGGCTATCTGAGGCCATAATATAAGGCCCCATATTTTTCAAACCTCAATCGCGCAAATGACGACTGAGATGGGTAGCGGTTTCAATAAGGTAAATTGGCCAAAGCGCCAACATCCATACCAAAGCCTGCCATATATGGCTGCCCAGGGCGCTGAAGGTACGGGTGCACACCATACACATCAGTACTTAGCACCCTACTCTGAAGATCGGCGTGATCGTGCCCCGGTAGAACATTCGGGACAAAACGGTTATCCAGCAAGTACTCATTCACAGCACCATGTAGGATTCGAAGGATACTCAACTGAGCAACCGCCAAGCAGAGCAATGAACCAGGACCCGAGATCTTTCCGAGAGAATGCTGTATACCCCATTAATGGACCCAGCCACATCTGTAGAACGATGGAAAGTAGACACGTACCACTGATGCAGGTGCATAACTGCACTTACTGTCAAGATGAAAGTGTGCTAAATGCTTACCATGATGCACGCATCCGGCAAGAGGTTTTCCAGCAAACCTCAATGAACTTTTCAAACTCTGTACATGGGACAGCAAATAACGCGTATGATGCCAATCTTGACACTTTGTCATACCTCGGGGCCCATGTCTTTGAGGAAGATGCCTGCGGAACGCCAAAAAGTTCAAGCAGCGATATTCGGTCCCGGCAGTATGATGGTCAGGAACAAGAGGCATCAATCGGTGCCACACAGTATCAAGAACGAGGCAGCGTCTCCATGACTGAGTCTACCCCAGGCCTCCGGTCGTCTGCCCAAGGTGGAATAGTCATTCAATTGGACGCCACAAACGCAGAACCTTGGACTGTATTCGGCCTAGTGGATGACAGTCAGACCAGCCGTTCCATAAGGCGAATACAAGAAGGGATGGACCGGATAACTTTGGATGCCACCCATTCGGTGTTCGCTTACGGTAATCCGAGCTCCGTCTCTTCTACGCGCACTGGTTTCGAAACCTGTTTGTCGTCAGTGATACAACTACCGAATCAGATAGACGATATACCATCAGCAATTCCTTACTTCCCCCCATCCTCAGCATCAGGAAGCCAAATGGATGCTTCCGATTCCTACCAGTCTCCCTTGGACGTCACCTACACTTCTGGATCGAGAACCGACCCTCAAAATCGACACCGGCTCCTAATGGAGAGAGCTGCAACACTCGCAAGGGCGCATGGACATCTTGGAAGATATCCTCGATCAGATCCTGGTTGTCACTTACCCATTCCTGGGGTGAGGCGACCGTCTTCTGCATCATCCCAAATCACTGACGCTACCTCGTCTAGTGCTGTACCCAGCTCTGGCCAGGGCGTCCTGAAATGTGGTGTGGACGGATGTGAAACTACGTTTTCCGGTAGATATGGAAAAGGCAACAGAGCGAGACACAAAAAAGACTGCCATGGAGGAAAGGGGCCCATCATTTGCCAGGATGGCAACTGCGGCAAGGTCTTTAGACGATCAGATGCTCGGCTGAAGCACCACAGGAAACATCATCCTCATCTCGTAGGCAGAAACACACAGGTGTCGCGTCCTAGAAGATGGAACCTGGCACCAGGAGACCTGGATGGTGATGCGTAGAGCACCTTCGTTTAGTCCCATTGCATCTCTGCTTCGATATTCGGCCTTAAGCAGTAATGCATCTCTTCTATCAGCAACAAGAGCCGGATGAACCCCTTCTTCTTTTTTAGTCTTGTTTTTTGCATGCCGGCCAGATGGTCAATGTTTTTCCTTGTCGGCAGCAGGCTGATTTTGTGCTTCCCGAAGTGTGGCTCCGCATCTCCTTGTTCGGTTCAAGATGATCAAACACGTTTCAGGTAAAGTACACATAATGTGTGCCCTCTCCCGTTGTCTTGTGCAATGCTGACGATGTAGCACAGCCCTAGTTGTTCTTCGTATTCTTTTTCCCTTGCAAGAAAGCCTTTCTTATGTATTTTCCTTTGTCGGCGTTGCGGTAGACATTTGCTATCGACCTTCTTCGTGTAGCTGCAAGCTCGAGTCGGTTGTGGCTGAGAAAGAGCTTAGCAAGCCAGGCAACCGTGCACAGCTCTCTTGCAGAGAAAGGCTGAGCATGCGTTACAACAGCACGCGAGTACTGATCAACTATTTGCATCAGTTGTGCTCAATAAGAACAGCGGTGGATGCCGAAGTAAGCTCGGTCGATAGAAGGAAGAGTGTAGGAAAGATCGTGAGGTTCGTACCTGAGTGGAGCTCATGCCAACAAGGTCTTGCGCTAATTACTACTAGTAGTATAGCACGGACACAATGTTCGAAGCCAACTCAGCCCGACGACAATCAGCAAACGTGATAATTCCCGATGTGGGGCCAGGAAGATGCCGGTGATCTTCATATGATTGTCAGGGTTGCGTTAATCACAGAACAAGGCAACCTATCGCGGTAGAAGACTCGCCTAACAGGGACCAGAAATGCCAGGCATGTTTCGGACCGATGCCGCACCCTTACAAAGACGAAAGAGGGGGGAAGGCTGCGTTCACTTGTAATTGAAGGGCTTATCGTATAATGTTTGTAAGGCCTGTTTCATCCCATGTTCCAAGCGAATCGAGAAGCATGGCGGAAGCCCCGGCATCCGTATACGAGCTGCATCGATCTCGTTCTTGCCGAAGAGAGACGGGTGTACCCATCATCCTTTTCGTCGAGTATACTGCTGGGTGTCTGATTCACCGTAGCAGTAATGTCGGGAGGCAGACCGGAAAAGCGAACAAACAGGGGGTAAAAGTTGTTCGCGAACAACACAACGCCCAACTTATATGTGTAGATGCCTAGAGTGGAGTCGAGAAGGCATTGTTTGCAGGAAGCCTAATGCTGCCTAGAGGTCGATTGGTCCGGTTGTGGTATCCATTCCCATTCTATGGGTCCATTGCCTAGTGTTCGATTTCGATTGAGTCCAATCAGTCCCGGGAGGACTCGTGAGGCGGTTGATTGGCGAGCCTGCTCTTCTTATCCAGGGCAGATATCTTCCTCTGGTTGAGGGAGATGGGGTGATTTGCCACATGTACGATATAGGAGGCGAGTGGCGAACGATGAAGAAGTGGCGATAGACAGGAGATGAGAGAGGATTGGTGGCACTGTTAGCTGAGCATTCGCGTATAAATATTCGTATCGAGGTCTTTTAGCTCGTATGTGCTGTTACTCACAAGTCATAGTGGCCATCACAATCCTTGCACTGCCCAGAATGGGATATACTCCAAAACGTCAAGTCAAGCGAGGCCAGCTCGGATGATGCAAAAGATTTTAGTTAAATCTTTTCTTTGCTGAGTGGTTTCCTGGTAAGTGAAAGCAGTATATATTGCCACAGAGTGGCTGTGTAAGTTTTACCGTTAGATGCCGACATATTCATTTCGGTAATCCCGAACAGCTCTCTTCTGTTACGAAAATCGCTCAAGACGCAGTGACAACATCACCCCGTTCTTTTTGGACCCTCAACGATATCCTAATATCATTTGGTATCGTGGTGCGACTCTTCGAACGTGCCAGCAAAGACTTGCATAAGAGTGATACACGTACATGTTCATGTTTCCTTTTTTGTATCGATGACCAGGGTCGGAAATGAGCGAAAATCACGAGATTTCAAAGACCCCGAGATTTTCTTCTCTATTAATGGTTACAGCTTTGACATATCGAGCGACCAAAGTGTTTATGAGGGTTGTACTGAATCACAGAGCCATGGTCATGAGATTCGATTTGCATGTAATGCGATTGCATTGGTCGTTTCTTACATGCTTTGTAGGTAGCACATAAACATGCGATGCATCAAGATTATATTTGCGCACATCCAACAAAACCAAATCGATCGTGCCATGCATCAATTGCGTAAGCTTTTTATGCCCTCTGTAACCGAGCATGCGACACGAGCGGCACTGCATGCTCAATGAAACCTCTAGCGTAGTACGCCCCGGAACAACCACGTGTAACCATATCTAACAAGTCCGTTCCGCTGACCATAGAAATATCAATGATCACATCCAAAGCATTATGTATTCGCTTGTGGCAGCCTGACTGGGATGTCACTACTATCAGAGTATCACAGCCCAAATAACGCCCTATTGCTTATTCCATAAGCCACGTGCATATCTCCCTTGGAATTTCAAATCGCACTGCCTGAACGGTGGAGGTAGCTAGCCGTAGTCGGGAACACGTCCAGTCGGGTTTAGCAACGTGCAACACCTGAGCCCAGTCGTTTTTGCGATTCCATGTCTGCACTCAGGTAATGTGAGGCATATCGTCGCTTCACTCGCCTATACAGAAGATCTCCGTCATATGATGTCGATCTTAACACGTAAGAGAAGCCGCAAATTACATTCCTCGGCGCCTTAGTGTTACATGGCTTCACTCGCAGGGCGGCTTGGATAGGATCCCTGGACAAAAGTACTACTATTTATCGAGACACGCTATACCCAAGTATCTTTCGACGCACTAGCGGCAACCAACACATAGCATATCGGTTGGTGAGCTATTGGTAGGGCTCGGATAAGGCATATTTGGGCATAGTAAGTTGCAAGTTCATGCCTGATTTAGGTGCGCGAAAACTACCAGCCAGCTCTTTATGCAAAGCGCTATGGATAAGTTTCATAATAAATACCGGAATCGTAAATTGATGCAGGCCCTGAGTACAGGTTTTTAGTACTAAATCAGGCCACGCTACCGTGCAGCTCAACACGTCAGTTGTGGCTTGTACATCATTAAGAACATTAATGATTGCAAGCATGTGAATAAAATTCCCGAGAAATATAAGCAGCTGGGGCGACCAGAACAGTACAAGGAGATTTAATCAATTTTTCCGGGCTTCATTGCGATTGCTCGTTTTCTTAACTATACGTACTAGAGATCTTGGCACAGATGCAGAAAGCGGTGTGATGATTGTACGATTTCCCAGATTGGAACATCTGGTCAGCTGCACCAAAACTGTTGAATCGTCACTTTCCAGTATCGGAGCCTATCACTCACATTAAGAGATGATGCTTATGCCTTTAATGAGAGGGTTCATGCGTTGCTTTTGACTGGTGTCGATCATATCGCTAACCCCTGAGCGCAAAGCCGCAAAAATGAGGCTGTGCCTCACAATGAGACTTGGAAAAGACATCAGTGGCGGAGAATATATTCATGTTGACACGTCCACGTGTAGCTGCATGCATGAAATCTGTGCTTGTATCAGGGTTGTCGGTGGGTCATTAAAGCTTGGTCCCGGAGATGGGTCCGCGAACAGCTCATCTTTGGCCATAATGAATACAATATAATATGCTTCGCACTTCTGATGCGTTATGAGCTTATAATGCGTAAGATAGCCAGCTTCACATCCAACGACGACTTTCAGCATGCTCGTGTTTATGCTTACGCTATTTGCTAAAAACGGACACACGCTACGGGACGGGACTCGTATCAATATTCGAAATTAAATACACAGCTGACCATTACGATACAAATGTACTCACTGCGATAGCCGTGAATGGCTTCGGAAGCTCTGAGGTGGCGTGGCCAGCTTGGAGCTGGGAGCAGGGGTCAAACTACAGCTGTTCAGACATTTCTCATCTCAACATTCAACCTATCTTCAGAAAAGGCCCACAGCCCTCAAAAGACATATAAGAGGCGTCAAATAAGACTGAAAGCCTTGCCTGTAGGCCATACGAGGCGAATTCCATTTCGCACCACTGTTGTTCCTGTATCGAACGCCCTTGTGATGGGCTTGACCCATTCACCAATCAACTTAGATATGTGGGAGATGATCATTATGAGTTAGATCAACTAGCAGCCTCGGTCGCATTCATGTCTTTTACCGTACTGTAGCACACCATTGTAACCCTTCGAATCTAACCGTCATTTTAGGTAGCCGAGTTGGATGGTTGGTCGCATATCTAATTCGCCTTACAACATTGCGTCGCGACAACGTCCCAATAGCCTCCTCAGGCCATAGAGTGGACTCCCAACTCTAGGCGAAACTCCTTTAGTAGACTTAGCATCTTCAGAATGAATAGCCTTTGGCTGGGCCTCAAAGTCATCCACTGTGAGCTTGCTTTCCCTATATCCCATGACGGAGTCCTTCTTCCCTATACATTTTCTTTCCACAGTCTGAAGATGATCTTCTCCCTCAAGAATCTGTTGGGAAAGGGTGCTGATGAGCTTCTCAGTATCCTCGATGGTGTTCGTAGCACCAAATGTAATCCTTACTACGCCAACAGGTATCCCTTCAACGATGTCGAGCTCTGTATTGCACCGATAGCCCCTCTCGAAGGCCATGCGTAGCCACTCGGAATCTAGTTTTAATGCACACGATATTCCCGCGGGATTGCACAAAGTGCCCGTACGGACATGGATCGCATGTTTCCGAAGGAAGGAGCCGACGTGCCACGGACCGACGTACGATCCATCGCTCCTACAAGCGTTGAAAGCTATGGTTGCGCCTTGCGTTTGTGGATCGTCATAGCTCGAATCAGCCGATTTATATATCCGGTATACTGGCATATTGTTCGGGTGCTTGGAGCTAACGAGACGCTCATAAAGTCGATTAGCGAGCCAGCCCGTGTGTTTGGATACTTGTTCAAGCCCACCGAATAGCTCTTGGTGTGTTGTGATGGCAAACTTTAAGGCAAGTATGCTTCGGAATGCAATAGTCCCGTCCTCCAACCGGGCATGCAAGCTCGAATCCTTTAAGGCGACCCAAGCATCACCAAAGCATGTCGTCATCTCCGTCGTTCCGCCTCCAAAGTACCTTCGGTGGTCGAAGACGTGGGCAGCAGCTTTACGAACGATCAAGGCTCCAAGGTCTGGGAAACCAAATATTTTATAGAAAGAAAGTGTAACAAAATCAGGGGCAAGGAGATGATTACTCAAATCCAAAGGGGTAGTTGATACTAAGGCAGCAACATCAAGGAGAGTGTATGCATTCTGGTGAATGGTTGAGGAGCGTAGCTTTCCTGCCCAGTCCAACGGAAGCCGTTCACCATTCATGTTTCTACATATGGCATTGAAGTCAGTGAAACTGTAGGAAAGCTTTCTCATGCGGAATCATTTGCTTACGATTGGGCTGGATAGGCAAACAACACTGGTCGTTGCGCGTTACGGAGGCTATCACGCGTGCCGGCGAGCCAATTGGATACCTCTTCATTGGAGGCAAAGCAGTGGCTGTGAAAAGCGAGTTCGCGGACACCAACTAAACTCGTATGACTATTGCGATGATAGAAGTAGTCGAAGCTCTCTCTATATCCAGAGAAACCTTCCCCGACCAGTTTAGTAGCTGCGGTTGCATTCGCTGTGAATACAACATCGAAATGAGCTGGATCGGCGTTGAACATCATCAAAACCTCACGTCTCGTCTCCTCTACCATTATGGCAGTATTACTAGGGTTAGAGGCGTCTGAGTGTGGATTTGCAAGAAGCGTAGACTGCATCTCACTGCAGAAGGATTGCATTAATGATCTTGACGCAAGAGTGGTGCCGCCATGATCAAGGTACGTCAAGCCTATTGGATGTCAGCAACTGACGTGAAGTGGGTTGAGATTTGACACACCTCTAAGCATGGGATATTCATGTTTCCGTATTTGACTCACTCTCTGGTTGTATGCTACTCGCTCATGGTCATCACGCCAAAACATCTCTTTGTGGCTAACAACTTTCATCCTTCCACCAAGTTCCTGAAACAGGCCCATGTTTATCGGTAAAGATCTGTTCAGTTCAGGATGAAACAAAGCCCTACGGATGACAAGTGTGATAGATGGAGATTGCGTGTTGTCTCAACGCAGATAAGCATGGCCTTTTGAACCAACATACTTCAGATTATAAATGGCCACGTCAATTTAAGATGGCATTCTTCTCCTCGCCCCCGAATTCATATCCATTAGGATGTGCGTTCGGTGTAGCCTGCAAGAGTGCGGCGTATCACGGGCCTACTTGCGACTGAGATCGCGGGCCTCGATACTGAGTCAATCTATCATAGGTCTCCCGTGCCATAAGCGCCCCCATCATGATATCTAAAGCTTACTGACCATCAGTTCTCTCTACATCAATAGTCTTAAACAGGCAGACTTCGCAGCCTAAGATGCAACCCGAAAGAGGAGATTATCTCGTTCTGATTACTCCATTCGAAGAAAGTGTGTCGCTGCGGTCCTCTGTATCCAGAAATATCCTCCAAACAGCAAGAGCTCTTGAAGATTTCAAACCTGTATCTAAGCCACACTGGTTCAGCAGCTTACTGCTTTGAGGCCGCGAAGTCAACAACGGCGACCAGCAGCGGCAAATTCCATCCGGTGAGCCTAATTGATCTCTTTCAATGGTCGTATTAGGAATACAATGCGCATTGTTCAAGTATTCTAGAAACTTACCGCGGAGAATCGCGCGCTAGACTACAAAAGTACACTCCTACATACCACTGTCACTGCACCCTCCAGTGGCAAGGCATTCTTTCAAACCAAATGTGTTGGTCTCATCAATTTTCACCTAGGCTTTCGTAATGTTTTTCATTTCTTGGGCAAGGCCAGCATCAGCATGGCGTTGGGCTCGCAGTCTTAGACACAGCCACAATCGATTAGCTGCAGTCCAAAAGATACTCTACTGAAGTGTAAGATGGGGCGTTTTGCGTTAGCACGTCATTACATTAGTGCTCACATAGGCTTCTATGACTCTCTGTGGGTTGTGTTCACGGATAAAATCTTGTTGTCGTCATTGAGAGATGTTAGTTTGTTCCGTCTTCTCATCGAAAGAGTACCCATGGGCAACACTGGCCTAAATTTCCCGTCCAGAGTCGTTGGTATTAGTACTCGCAACTATTCTAAACCATTCACCTTGTCATAGAACTCGTCCTAATATTCCATATCGCGTTCGGAAATAGAACGTAGATTGAACGACTACTAATCTACGTCTTACTCTACGCTATCGTCGTATAGCTCACGCTGTATCCACGGTCGTGCTAGACTTCACTACAGCAGTTCGCATCAACGCCAACAGGCTGTGATCTTGTATTAGTAGTTTGGTAAGCCCGATCTCACCTCGCCCCCATGTTACATATTTCGATATGTTAAGAGCCGGTGGGTTGGATCCGCGCGTAACGGCACGCTGATCGCGCACGAGACATGTTGCACTGTACGCTAATGCTGTGAAACGTATATGTCTTTTCTCTCAGGCTAGATGGAGTCGCGAGATTTTGAAAGGATTGATCAGCGGCTATCAGACCGTATTTACTGTGGGCTGGAAACTTCGGCACGGCATTCCTGCCCAACAAGAAAGCCGGGGCATGTCACAATATGGGCAGCTGAAATCGCTTGAGACGAATTGGTGTAGTGAGAAATAGCGCCGTACAAAAAGAGGGTGTGCGAGAAGTGGGGTCGTAAATCGCACTTCATACAGCAGGCGCTTAGAATTTGGGAATTGCAAGCGAGGCTGCAGACTCGGCATATGTGTTCACTGTTATAGCGCTTCCGTCTTTTCCAGATCCGGGCCGTCGTCGTCACGCGCAGACCAAACGCATTACGTCTTTTACGGCTGTTTTTACTCTGTGATCGGTAGTATTCGCGAAATTTGTCCTTTAACAGCAAAGGCGCCGCCAGCCACGTTTTCGGGAACCGATATTCCCGCCGTGAACGATCGTTTGGACGGCTCGCACGTTCAATGCCGAGTCTACTGTGTGTTATTACGTAGCTCTTGTCGCTCTGAACCTTTGTCTCAGGCCTTTTGAGCAGTTGCTCTGCCCGTGGTGGTACATCATGCCCCGATATCCAATGTCGCTAGACCTACTTGCTGTTTTCATGAACAGGGGTTTCAGAGGCTCCTGATTACGAGCCTTCATTAGCGCCAAACTTGCGAAAGTTCAGCTCTGGGATACTTAACGAAAAGGATGAGTGGCTTGCATGGCTTCGACGCAGTATAGCCATGGGACCGACGTAAGCGCGGACTGCACAACATGGCTGCATCTGTAGGCATCCACACCATTACCGTAAGGCATGTACCCAAGAGAACATGCAGCCGTTCTAGACCAAATGTGTACCTTCCCCGTCCAATATTGCGCGTGCTTGATCCAGGAAATCGTCCTTCGCGCAAGCCAGAGGGGACACCAAACCCAACCAGTTTAATGATTGGCGCACGAGTGGTCAAGAAGAGGCTTGCATTGTGACTCGCCATGAAATGATCAACCTGACAAGTGGGCAGAGCCTCAATGGCACTTATTTGTGGGAACAGTGAGAACAGCTTCATCCCTGATACGCCTAGATGTGGCTCCCCGCATGCAGCCCCAAGGGTAAAAGGTATTCTTAGCTAGGAAGCAATCCTTCCCACCATGTTGCAGAAAGGGGGACAGTTAATAGGCAGGGAGTGAGCCATATACGCTGTGGCTTGGATGCAAGATCACCGCTCATCATTATGATAAGAAGGCCTGCTTTCACTGTAATGAGACTTGATGGCACTTCAGCTGTTTGAAAACGCACCTAATTGCAACACAAGTTCTGCCACAAATCTATATTTTTCACGTCCAAACGCCATATTCCCCCAAGATTTGTGTGCCTGAAAGAACTACTGGCCTCTCAGTCATACATGGACTGCCTGAACACATTGTATGGTACCCTCAACGCTACTCACAAAGCCCTAAGTTGACATAGCTACCACTCAAGCACAACGCCTTCTGAGTCGCCGTCATTCCCATCAAACACTCTGCGGTTGCCATAGTACAACGAGCATGTCCGCTATGCAAAGGTCACTGCCTAAGCAGATCACTTCTACATCGCCTGTACCGTCTTCAAAACCCGCGCCTTCTGCAGTCCAGTCGATGAAGTCCTGCGTGGCAAACTTATAGACACGATGTACTATTAGTACCGTCACCACCCCGATCACAGAACGAAGGAGCTCGGGCACCCATGCCTGAGCTCCAAAGACTACTACACATAGGGGGATCGAGGTAGCAACAAGGCAAGCCCGCTGAATATGAGCATAGACATCGTCTCCGCAAGGCAGAATCGATACATGCCAATGGGTCGATACATACGTCATCAGATGAAACGAACTCAAGCTTCATCGGGGCTTCTTCATCTTACCTGCAGGAGTCTGTCGGCGCTATGACGGAGGAGCACAAGGGAGTGTAAAGGAGGACCGACGAATGCGCTGGCAAGATGAGGGAGCTGTAAAGCGAAACCGTAAAGGACATCATGACGCAGGAATAGGGGGCAACCCACTTCCAGCGCAAGGCTATTCTCCATCTCTGATAGCAAGCATCTGCCATCACGAAGTGCTTGCGCCTCAAAACGCAAGTGGAAGCTAGTTCTCATGTCATTGTGCTGAAGCTAGACAAGCCACGTTCTGCACTGGCGTCACGATTGTAAATGATGGTCCAATTCTCAGAGACATTTTCTAACGTTTCTGTAGGTGCGGAATTGAGGAGTTCCTTTGCCCTCCTCTTTGGGGTTAGTGACCGGAACGAGTGCCCGCCTAAATCATCTGTTCACCTCAACCACCACCCTGGGCCAGAGAACACTGTAAGAGATTGACCGTCTCGTCCCCCGGCAAAAGAAGATATTCGCTCTATCGCCGTTCTTTTCTTCAAAGAATATCCAAAAATCATTTTCTATGCACCGAGTCAGTGTTGCGTAAGATTACTGCCAAGAGCCGTGGGACTAAAGGTCCTCCCATAGGTCTTAACTACCACGCAACCACCGCCATCAAGCGCCCGACACGCCCTGTCAACCAAACTCCCTACCTTCTCTATTTCATATCCATCTGCATACTTTGTCGTTCGTTAACCTTTTTCATTTGGATGCTGCGTTGCCCTAGCCTCCTCTCACCGTCTTGTTTCACAGTCCTTTTCATCTTCTAACCGCACAAAGGTACATTAGAAGGAGCAGTAGTCTCTGTATATCCCTCAAACACTTTGATTTGAGAGTGCTTGAACATCTCAGTCTTGCCCAAATAGCCAGACAGGATTGCTCTCGCATTCCTGCTCAGCAGCACGCCATGTATCGACAACGGCTATCTGGTGTTTCAAACAGCCCACCAAGCATGCGCTCTCCGCCCCGAAACCGCACATTTCATCCATACACGGACCCGGTGGCTGGCTATCAAAATCAGGCGTCAGGACCCAACCTTGAGCGTGGCTACGGGTGGACTCCATCCCCTCAACAGCAACTAGGTCAACGAGTACCTGATACTCAATCACAGAGAGCAGACCACTTGCTTGCTACAAGGCGCCTCACATACGCTGAGGTTCTCCAGAAACAGACGCCTTTTGCCAACCAGTACAACTCAGCACGTCCATCAGGGCTTGGCTCCATTCTCGCTGAGAATATGCAGCCTTGGGCCCCCCCTCGTCGCGGTCCCGGCACAGTAGATGTCCCCTCGGATCAAGACCCCTCATCCTATGAAAGGATATTCGCGATGTACACTAATGGGGGCAACTCAGAAGGTGCGCGCGAGCCATCTCCTTATCACAACAGCATAGCTTCCGGAAGTTCTGTGTTGCCAACACCTTCGGGACCAGTGCATGGAAATCTGGGGAATGATGATGAACCCTGGTCGACTGTCCACCAGAGAGGATACGAAAACCGTATGGGGTTAATAAGGCCGCATCTTCCATCAATGCCGCAAATGGATCCAAGTGCATTTCAAGACAATCATGCCAGCGAAGGCACTTATTTGACTTCCCCCGACCTGTACAACCTATCGCATGTACAGTGCTTCAACAAGGACATCCAAAGCACAATCCAGCCTGTCCAGCCTACCAGAACCAACAGTGGATACGGACAAGCCGACTATGGAGTTACCAAAAACACAAATCATCTGAGAGCTCCAAGGCAGGTCCCCAACCAGCGTGCTTCGGGCGGTGTTAATACCCACCGGGTCAATACCAACCCTGTTGCCCGGTAAGCAATTCTTTGCACTCATTGCAACGGTGTGACTGATGATAACAGGTCGGGTGATGGTCGCTCCTACGGTTCCCCTTCGACTACCTCGATGCATCGCGACTCTCTGCATTGCCCTCACTGCGACACAAAGTTCACAGGAAATAAGTATGGGAAGGGAAATCTTGCTAGGCACATTCGCCATAAGCACCAAGACCATCCTAAGATTTCTTGCGGATACTGTGGTGAACTGTTTCAGCGAACTGATGCCCGTCTCAAACATCACCGGAAAAAACACCCAGAGCTCGAGCCTCCCACGCCAAACTCTCAAAGGTCGGGGCAAAGTAGCACCCAAACCCGGACCGGCCCAACACACGACGTACACAGCAATGAAAGTCGCAGCTTCAATGGCTTTGAGGCATTCCAGGACTACTTTTACTACCCTGGAAACATGGGACAACCAGAACCACATCCTGATGACCTCCGTGGACTTACAGATTCGTAATAGATCCAATCCACTGCCGTGAGGCTTTATCACAGATGCCTTGCTGGATCTACTATTATCCGCCAACAATACACTTGGTGCGGTGCCACTCTTACCAATGGTAACCACACACCACCATTTCACAAAACACAAGATGGCACCTTGACTTACCCATCATCTCACGGCTATCTCACTCTTCTGTCGACAAAACGGCACACTATTTTAGCCATCTAGTCTCTTGTTTTTCTCCAGCACTTTATTTAATTTTGGTGATCAAGACTCAAGACCAACAAAGACCAAAAAAACTAGAAAAAGACATCAACGCCAAAGAAAAAAATCCACAGAACCAACAAACCCGCAAAAAAAAACAAGACGTTCCAAAACGCTATGCTCATTCCTCACGACTATTCTTCCACTCTTTTCTCCACGAAATCAAGTTGCATGAGCATCATGATTTCTTTCTAGCCATTTAACATCCGCTCATTTCCCAAGACTAGGACTTTTGATCTTTTTCTCCAACTCGGGCGTATTTGGAAACAAGGGGGAGTTTGGATACGTAGATCATACGATGCACATGCAAGATTCTCCTGGATGCGACATAAGCGACTGCGTTATGGCGTTCATGTAAATATTTATTTTTTCCGGAACAAGCTTTTGGGCAAGGGGGGTTGGAGAGATGCCCAGGATTGAGGTTTTTGTTTCTTTTGGGTATACGATTTCTTATGTGGGGTTTGTTGGTTATTTTCATGGGGGTTTTCATAAAGTAGGGAAGGTTTGGTTGGGGGGTTGGATGATTTTTATGATAGGTGAAGGGGAGTGAATTTTGCTGGTTCAGATAACTCGAGGTCCCGTGATACGTATGCACGTTAGTTACGCATTCACCCAACGACATCAATGAACTTCATGATTCATCAAGTATTATTTGTATAGACTCACTAGTATGCGCGTGCGAAATCCACCAAGACATATTTGCAAAAAAAACTGGGTTTCAATGACTGTATCTACATCGGACTTGTGGAAATTCTCACATAACGTGAGAGCTTTCCTCTTTAAGTTCAGCTTGTAAGATACATCCAATCAAAGATCATCACCACATCGAATTCTTTCAGCCCTAATTTCTTCCACAAGATGACGCGTTCAAGGTCCCAGCGGGCCAGTATTGGCGAAATTACCAGTCCTCCTTGATGGCTTGCCGCTGTGCGAAAATCCACCAGCCACTGGCTGTCGAATGATTGGTGAGTTTTGAAAAGAAGACGTTGGTTCTTGATTTAGATATGGGTTCTGACGTGTTCCACCGAGGACCGGAAGGCGACTTCTCCGAGCTTGAGAAGGTGTATCAACTGAGACATATTCTTTGTATGGTCAGCTTGACGCCCATGAAAACCACGTGTCCAAAGTTAACACCATAGAATGGACTTACGACCACTGTGAACTCTGCTGCCGAGACCGCGTCCATGCAGCTGTGAATCGAAAGGAGGACCAACGTGAATGCTGCCTTGCTGTTGTCGCCCACTGCTACCAGAGCTTCTACTGATGATCCTTTTATGCAGTCTGTCGCCTGTCTGTTGTGAGGGGCCTGTTTGGCTAAAATTCGCAGTGCCAGACCGGGCACCTGGCATGCGGTCGATGAAGCGATCTCCTCGTGCTGACTTTAACGCGAACTCTGCCTCATCGCCGGCAGCATGGGCTACATGCGAAGCCATGACTTGGGCTTTGAGTGCTTGGTAGAGATTCTGTGTCCTCTGGTGCGCTTTGGTCTTTTCTTTGAAGGCTTCCGCAAATCCATGATTCTTGGTCTCGAGCTCTACGAGGTCTGCTTGCATAGCTGGAGATCGTTAGTTGCAAAGTCTGCAACTTAGGCATGCATAATGCAAACCTTGTATCTTGCCCTGGAGTGCCTTGATCTGTGCGTTGGCATCGTGAATCAACTGATCCATCTGTTGGCTCAATGTGTTATATTTTTCAGTGAGGCCCTTTGCGAGGTGCTCTTGGTAGATGATCTCTTGTGATGTCTGGTAACTATGAAAGGCCAAACCACGACTTGCACACTCCATGATGATTGTCGGGCTAAGGCCACTCAATACTGAAGTCTTGTAGTCTTCTGATGGATTGAGACCTGCAATGACTACATCATCTGGGTTAGGTAGCGGCGCGCTACATGCTGGACAGATTCGTTGCGCATTTGTTGATCTTGAAAGACCGGTAGCATCTGCACAATTAGTGCAAAAGATGTGACTGCATTTTTGTCAGATACGACGGCGCCATGAAAAAAATACGAACCTGCAAGTCGTGACAACAGCACGTTCATGGAGCTGCGAGCGGCATTTCAAGTCATTGCAACGCAGGACATACTCCATGCTTGTTGCGGTGGCGACTCAAAAAGTTGGAGGGTTGGTGGGTGAAGGAAATACGTTCAGACACGAAGCACGTGATCAATTTCGGAAGGCAAGAGCGACCAGGTGGGTGTATGTGCCCGTGTAAAAGGGTGATTTCCATTCCGGGTCGTAATATGGTATCTCGCTGTGCATCAATGATATAAAAAAATAAGACTGTACTTTCTCCTCGAGCAAATCACCTATCGTCTTTGTCGGGCTTTCGCCGTTGTCTTGTGCTCTTCTTGCCAGCAACCGCGGTTTCGTCCTCCTCTTCATCACGGCCCTTGGCCAAATCCTGTTCGAGGCCCCATTCTTCGTTGTCATACCAATCCTCGCCATCGCTCATCTCCCCTACATGGCCTTCTGCTTTCGACCACTTGAAAACATCGTGCCTCATGCGGTCCGCTTCCAGCAAGCCGTGATAGAGGTCAGCTGTGATCCGTGCGACTTCCTCTTGTTTCTGTACGTATGCCATCAGAAGCATGCGCGTCTCCTCTGCTTCATTTGGCGGAAGACCAAAGTCGCGATCTGGCAACGACTCGATGGGGTGTATGAATAGGGGGTGTATCGCGTTGACATCGCTTGATGGTGAGTGAGGAGGAGAAGGCGTCGAAGCTGCGTGTGCTCGAGCTCGCGTGCGTGTCGTCATCCTATGTGTTTGCTGCGATGCTGTGTCAGACACATCTTCGCCCATAGGAGAATGATCCCCCTGTCCATTCTTTTGCGGTTCATCTGCATCGCTGGTATGTATTCCATTCGTCACAGGGGCGGCACCATTGACTGCCTCGGGTCCAGCACCGCCATTGATATTATTCGCTCGGTCGGTTCCATTGGGCTGCGCAACGTCCTTCATATTCACGTCTTGCGCACCATCCGCCGCCTCCTGCATTTCAGTGTCGTGTGTGCGCTGGTCTTCGCCCTCTTCAAAACGCCGACTTGGGATTTTTGAGTGTGACAGCCGAAATGGCGTATCGCTCATCGCTGCCAGGGCAGCAGGGGCGAACATAGAATCCCCCTGCAGCTTCACAAAAAGGTTCTTGGCTCGTGCATTCGTGATCTGCTCTTTTCGTGAAAGAGCCCCGGCCTCGTTGGCAAGATCGGAGAGATGTCTGGAGGTATATGCAACGCTCAAGGCGGGATGGTTTGGTAGGTCGGCGGCGGAGGTCAATGGTGCAAGAAGGTCTGCATTTCAGTAAGCTCATGCCATGCCACGCATTCATGCGATGGCTACATACTCTCCAGATGTATATTTCCATACGGGTTCTCTTCTACTGGCTCCACGTCATCCTCGTCTTCGTATTCGTCGTCAACTTCGACAACGTCACCATCGGCATCGTATCGCGGAGGGTTGCGCTGCAAAATATATCTGTGATAACCGGCGTGCTCGATGCGCTACGGGAGGTCAGTGGACTGTCCCGCCCAGAGGTTATGCAAGTGGGATTGGACCTTCTTGTAAGGACGCGGGTCTGCGAGAAAGTCGGGATCGCTTGCGCGCGCATAGTGGACTTTGCGCCGTAAGTCCTGCTTATTGCTGCCGAGGGCGGTTTCGGAATCCTCTGTGTCCGCTGGGAGGTGTTAGAATGACGGAAGCAGATGCCGCTATGTACGCTTACAATCGTCTTTACGCAACATCTTCCTCTTCATATTGAAGATGGTATCGAGGATTTGCTGTTGTTGGCCTGCCATGGCGCCGAAAGCCTCTGGGCAGCGCAGTAATAAGAAAGAATGTGGATAACAACTGGAAGCGCGTCTAGACAGAAAGTGCACGCGCTTTGACGTTTGCAAGAAGAGGAAAGTAGAAAGACACGTCGACCGAAAGGCGGATTATTGGTAGAAGCTGTTCACAAAGCTTGGGCTTGGGTAAAGGAATCGTTCAGCGGAGAGACGAGACAGGGTTCACTTTAGCGCATCATTCATGGATTCCGCCCGCAATCTGACCACATGCCGACCGCCGATGTCATGGCCCGCCAACAATCTCTCGAGAACGTGCCAGGGCCCAGCAAACCGCGATTCGACTAATAACAAGACTGCAAGGTTAAGCCTGAGACCGAATCCACACGAGAAACTGGCGACCTGTTACGCGATCCTCGAATTGGAACTTGCAGCCCCTCGGCCCCTCTGACTAGCATCCAGCTCACTCAAGCTGCCTGTGTTCTTTGGGCATGGGGCGCTGACTTGAGCCTACGTAGAGAATGGAGGCCTTTCCTTCAGACTTTGTGGTCCACAACCTACCTCTGATAGTCCTCTCTGGCCTGGCCACGAGCAAAGAAGTCGATCCACCCCCACCTGTTCAGCAAGTGCTTCCTGGGAGGGCCGTTACAAACATCAACTCGGAGATAGCGCCCGTCGAAGGCGAACGCGCAAATGAGCTCCTCGCTGAGTTTCTGCGTGCCGATGCAACCAATGCGCCGTGGAATTCGCGGGGGTTAGGTCGCAGAGGCCTCACGTACAGCTTCAGGATACGGAGTGTAGGAAGGGTACGGACGCCCGCAAACAAACATGGCGAAGGAGCGACGGGCTGATGTCTGCTAGAACTTCCAGCTGCCCCCGCACAAGGCAGATGCGCCCTCTCACTCCGAGACCACGCCCCCGGGCAGTCCCACTATTGCTGCAGCGACTTCGTGGATTCTTCATTCACCCATATCGCCCCTCTCGCCCGGAGCCCCTTCCTTTCCAGATGGTGTCATCGCTCCCGCTTGGGTTGCGAAGCACCAGCACTACATACCCGCTGTGTTCGTTTCATTCTTCAATTTCACCACCGACCCCATTACAAACAGCTTGCATGACAACCAGCTGAAGACGGAGATCAACAAGATCAAAGGCCAAATACAAAAGTCTGACTACCGCACAAAGTATGTGGTGGTGTTGTTGAGCGACAAGACGATACTGGAAGCGCCAGATATTGAGGAAAGGCTTGCCACCATCCGCCGTGCGACGGGCCTTGACCCAAAGAGCTCTCTTTTCTTCTTGCCCCCAAGAACGTCACGGGTTGAATTAGAGGCATTTGTCACGTCAGTCCTCGCCATATTACACCCTGTCTGCGTAGAGTACTATCGTGACCTCACAAAGCATGCACGGAGAAAGAAGAATCGAGGTACTATTCCTCCTCCTACAGCACCTCCTACACGTGGAACTTCCCAGACGTTATCATATCCTGGCTGGGGGGTTCGCTATGACTTCAAATTAGCCATCTTCGCCGAATTTCGCCAAGAGATGGACGCTGCGCAACGGCACTACAATGCTGCTTTGGAGGCATTGTTTGGAGCCGAAGGTCTGTTTGAAACTACAGCGAGTTGGTCACCACGATGGGATGAGATACGATTGCTTTCAGACATCATCGCCTTACGGCATATTCGCTGTCAGCTCTGGAACAATTACCCTACTTCTGCCGTGCAGACCTGGCTTCGCTACAAGTACAAGCTGCAGGATGTGCTGGATCGCCGAGGAAAAGGCACTGCAAATTATGGCTGGCAAGCATGGGAGTCTAGATGGGCCCAAGCCATGGCAGAAATCGTTCAGCGGACAGATTTACCCGTCTTCAAGACAACAGACCCCAAGTCAGAATCAGATCCTTTGACAGAGATCCCAATCTCTCTGTTCTCGGAACCTGAAAAACAATTTCTAATAGGAGAAAGACTACCGCCATGGGAGCTGCTCCACCACGCTGGTTATTGGCACAAAATCGCCAGTGATCATGCCAAGAGGCGTTACATCTTGGCTCGGGAAATGCCTGAAGAGGATCGGACACCGCCGGGCATGTCTCCCGCGGCGAAGGTGTCGTCCCGGAGTCAAATATACGATAGCTATCTTGTTCCACAGCCGCATGAAGAGTACCCATTACCCGGTGTTGGAGGGAACGGTTTCGAGCATTGGAAAGACATTTCTTCCAAGATGAACGATGCAATTGCTCAATTCAAAGCCCGAGGACAGCACCGTAAAGTAGGCCAGTTACAATTAGAGGTCGCTCGGACACTTTTGCATGTCAACAGGTTCGAAGATGCCTTCAAGGTATTACGTCCGCTTTGGGAGACCATGTCCTGGAGGAAAGAAAAGTGGTGGAATCTCGCTTCAGAAGTAGTTTGGGCCTTACACGAGTGCGCCTTGCGAGTGCAAGATGCTGAGGCTTATCTCGCTACTGAATGGGAGTTGTACTGTCAAAGTCAGTATCGTCACGCGTTAATAATGTTGTCCCCGCTAATTCCATTCAGCAATCCCTGGCAAGACAAAGTACAAATATGATCTTATGAAATGCTTGGACTCTTTCACAAAAGCAGCAGATGGCAAAGTCAAAGTGAACCTGAATGCTAAAGAACACATCTCTTGTCGTAGGTGCGACCTTGTCTTTCAGCAGAGCCAGTACTAACGGAACAGTGTCTGTATCTTTTGCCTTTTCTGAAGCCGAAGGTAATGTGGGCGAACCGCTGCAATCGCAGATTGCAATCACTTCGAATGCTCGCCCAGGGTCTACTCCCATTACCTTGTCATTCTTGCAATACCAATTCAGCGGCGGCTTAGCGGAAGTTCGCCTGACGCACCAAGAAGGCGAAGAACCCTCTGAGCATGCCTCCAGGATGTACTCCTGTACATTAGATGAGGTCCAGTCAGCGACTGGAAAGCCTCAGTGGACAGGAACCGCTGACTTGACACTACATGCTGGCCAGACCAAAGTTTACAGCGTGCCGCTCATTTTCCGTGAGTCTGGTGATGTCGATGTTACCGCTTGCGTGTTGGGGGTTAGCACCGAGCGATTTGATCTCGTCTCCTCTAGTACAGATATTGAGATTCCTATTCATCCACTATGGTGGATCGAATCAAACAAAAACATCAAATCAAGGTTGCTGAAGCACGGCTCGGGCATGTCAGTTCACATACTGCCCAAGCCACCAAAGATGGAAATCAGCCTGCCAGACATTCGCGATCAATACTATACTGACGAGCAGGTCACTCTTGCGATTGAGATAATCAATCAGGAAGACGAGGATACTGAAGCTGTTCTCGAAGTTCGAATCCTTGGTCGCTCAAAAGACTCTCTCGCATATACCTGGGTTGATCGCCCAGCATCGTCACCGATGAAGGAAGTACCGCCGGCGCTTGATGGCTCGACTGATGTGGATCTGCCTGGCCATGTAGTCGGCAAACTCGCTCAAGGAGCACGTACAACTGAGCGAATCCGCTTTACGGCCCCGCCCGACCCAGCCGACTACGCGTTAGAAGTCAAGGTTTTATACCACGTGCTCAGCGACCGCGATATTCCCATCTCCAAGATCATGGTAGCGGACATAGTCTTCAACGCCCCCTTTGAAGCCAGCTACGACCTGAACGCACGCGTACACCCCGATCCATGGCCCAGTTACTTTGAGCTCCAAGAAGCCGAAAGTAACATGAGTCCCGAGTCGTCCGATGCATTCGGCATAGCCCAGAAATGGGGCCTACGCGCCAAAGTCGCCTCCTTCGCCGACGAGCACCTCATCGTCAGCGACCTCGCCGTTGAAGTCCACAGCATTCACGGCGGTGCCACCTGCGACGTGACCAAAGAATTTGAAATCAGCGAGACACGTATGGAGCCCCAAGTCCTCAGCGAATGGAGCTTCAGCCTCGACATTCGCAAAAACAATCTCGAAGAACGACGCTCCACCGCTCTCGACACTACACTCAATATCACTTGGCAGCGTACTTCAGACCCCTCTGCCCTCCCCGTAACTTCTTCTTTACCCATTCCCCGCATCCAAATCCCCTCATCTGAACCGCGCGTCCTAGCCCGCTCCCACTTTTCCCCATCAATCCCCTCGCTCATCCACCTCGACTACGTCCTCGAAAACCCAACCATGCACTTTTTAACCTTTGAACTCGCAATGGAGGCCAGCGAGACATTCGGGTTTAGCGGTCCCAAGCTACGCACGCTGCATCTTTTACCCATGAGTCGTCAGACGGTGCGGTATAATTTGCTGTCGAGTGTTGAGGGAGACTGGATTACACCGAATTTGAAAGTGACGGATCGGTATTTCAATAAGACGCTGAAGGTGCAGGGGACGGAGGGGATGAGGGCGGATAAGAAGGGTGTGGGGATTTGGGTTCCCGGTGGGGACGAGGAGGATGGAAAGGCGGAGGGAGAGGTAGAAGGGGGGTAATAGCTGGAAAGAGCGTCTAGTGTAGAGAGAGAGAGACTAGGAGAAAGGGATGGGAAATGTATTCCAGTTTTATTTTGCTTCGTGCATTTATCAAAACGTTATTGATGTACATAGATACAAATGCATCAATCAAGCCATATTCCCTGCGTATCTTCCTCCTCTTCCGTAGTCAAACAAAAAACATTTCAACCGACCAATGCATAGATGAAATCATTAATGCCTTTCTTCTTTCCTTCTTTCCTCCTTTCCTTCCTTCCTTCAATCACCCCTCCCCCTCCCCCTCCCCAACCCCACAGGATCCCTCCCAGGACTCCTCCAATACCGCCATAAATCCGCATCATCCCCCCACTCTCCCACCGCGAGCTGTAGTCCCTCTTTCCTTTCTTCCTTGTCATGCTGCACATTATTGCGACGTGGAGAAGAAGGCCTGGTGATATGCGGCGTTAACATTGTAATGTCTATATTGATCTGAGACGTCATCTGTTAATTGGTTGGTACTTGATGACGCGGACGAAGTGGTAGGATAGGAGAGATGGGAATGGGAAGGGGAAGGGGAAG